TGTGTCTTGCAAAGTGAGGCAGCAGGGATCACCGTGTCAGGCAGCAGTGTGGCCTTCCGCAGCCATTCAGCCGAGTCCGCTGCTCCGGCTGCTGAGGACACTGCAGGGCGCAGCCAGGATACAGGCATCCACCTGCAACATGACATGCCAAGTGCCAGAGAGAAAGCAGAACCAAGGCAGAAGCGGCTAGAGCCAACAGACAGGAGGTAGCCTTTCAAGGGGGTAGCATGGTACAAGCAATGGGGGCAGGGCCCCTCTCTCTCACTCAAATAAATAAAAACCCCGGAAAGAAAGAGGGAGAGAGAAGAGAAGCGATGGAGAGGGAATGGGGAGAGATGAGATGCAAGGTAGGTTGGGCAGGGCCTTGGCGGCTGGGCTAGGGGCTCTGGGCCCACCCCTGGTTCAGCTTCCGCCCTGAAGGCTGCCCTTAGTAACTCCTTACTTCTCCTAGCTGCTCTCCAAAGCCTGTCCTGACCCTCTGGTCACAGTCAAGGAAATTGAGGCTCCAGGAAGTGAAATCACTCGGCCAAGGTCGCCAGCAGTCAGTGGGAAGCTGGGATTTGGACCCCAAGCTCCAACCACTGTCAGCTCTGCCACCTGTCTGCCCCGGTGTAAACCAGCCAGGATGCACACAGCTGGCTAGCCATGCTCAAGCCACATGGGGCCTCACGAGCTGCCTCCTGGAGCAGCGGCGTGGGCTGAGGCAGGGCCCAACTTTGGGTGGGTCTCCACCCTGGCTCAGAAGCCCCAGGGTGTCCTCATGCTTTGGGGAGCAGGATTCAGGCATGGTGCAGAGCAGGAAAGCAGCTTGAAGGCACACACGTCCTGGGCTGCGGCTCTCTCCACGCCTCAGCACACATACAATGCCCTCTGCCCTTACTTCTCCAGTCTGCTCAGTGGGCTCCTATTCACCCAGTGCAGTCCAATGCAGTTTGCCCCTCCTGTGCAAAGCTCCCTTGGCTCTACGGCTTACCCTGCACACTGTCCTCTTCTAGCCCTTTCGTGCATGTCTGGCTTCCAGACGTGGTTCCAGCCCAGGCCGAGGCAGAGTAGATGGGTAGGACTATTGCAGTGCCATCTCCTGGCCAGCCTCTCCAGCCCCCCTTCCCAGCAGGGGAGGGGAGCTTCCCTCCTGCCGGGTCTCCTGCAGACAGAGGGGGTGGCAGAGAGGGGCAGCCACAGGGCAAAGCTACAGCGGCTCTGTCCTCATAGCTGTGCCCAGCTCTGACCCCACAGCCAGAAATGGCCTCCGAGTCACCTCCTGTCTGCGTGTGCGTAGGTAACGTGGCCTGACCACAGTGAAGCTGCCATGCTGGGCCCCACGCACCTTCCCAGCCTCCCCTGGCTCCATGGATGGAACCCCCGAGCTGTGTGCACCTCTGCCTTCTCCTTTCCCCCACACCTGGCTGTTTCACCGCACCTGACATCCTCACAACGGCCTGAACCCATCTCTCCTTCTTCTACCTGCAGCTCGCATTTCCCAGCCTACCATACGGGCCCACCTGGCCTCCTTAGCTCCGCCTCTGGCCCCTCTTTCCACACACAGCCATCAGGGACCCCTTCAACTGCAATGGCTCACACATACTCCCCTGGCCCACAAGGTCCCTCGTGACCTTCCTCTTTTTTTTTTTTTTTTTCTTTTAACAGTTCTCTTATTTACTTAAAAGGCAGAGTTAGAAAGAGCAGGAGAGGTTTTCCCTCTGCCAATTCACTCCCCAGATGCCTGCAACCATGATTCTAACCAGGGCTCATATGGGATGGCAAAGCTGCAGACAGCTGCTTAAACCACTCCACCACATTACTGGCCCCAACCTTCTCTCTCCTCTCAGAGTCTCCTCCCTCCCCTCGGCTCAGCCCCAGCTCCACTGGCCCTGTTCTCCAATGCTCTGCCCGCATCCAGAGATGTTAGGTTCCCAAAGCTGGCAGAGCTGGCTCCTCCTTGCCAGCCGGTTACTGCTCAGAAGTTACTCCTCTGTCACATGACCTAAATTTCATTCTCAGAAGAGCACACCTTCCCACCTGCCAGCGGACGCATCTCTGCCCAACTAGAGTGTAAATCCGCAGGAGTGGGGACATAGCCATCACAGGCTCTGCCTCTGACCCAGCTGGAACAGAAATCAATTCTGGTTAGCTAACAGGGAATGAATAAAAGAACCAGGCGGGGCTAGACTCTCCTTTGCTGCCACACGGGGAATGCCCAAACGCAGGTGCTCTTGGGCTTGGCCATTTCACATGCTGGGCTCTTCCTGCTGGACAGAATTCAACAGAGGAGCATGCAAGATACTTTCCGAGTGCCACATCGCTTGTCATCCATTATAACCTGTATGGAGCCGCCTCGCTGTCCATCCATTGCTAGGGGATTGGCTGCGACTGGGTGTGGCACCAAAGCGGGGCAGCCACTCACTACGAGGGGATGGGTCTGTTTGCACGGCATGTCGCTGAGGGGGTGCAGCAGAGCCTGGCGCCTGGCACTAAGCACACATTCAGTATAGATGACTCTCCACAGGCGAGGCACACTGGTCCTATGTCAACAGCACTAATTCACAACAAGACAGAGAGGGACAGGGAGGGTGGGAACTGTTCCTTAATCCAGCTCTGTACTCTGTTTCATGAAAGCAGGACTGGGGATAGAAAGAGCCTCCTGTGCCCGCAGGTACAACCAGTCCCAGGGCTCAGGGCCCCACTCCCTGCTCCCCGCAGGTTCAGGGGGGCCCAGCTATATGTGAGTTGCATGTTGAGCCTCACTGTGAGATTTCCTAAGTTTCTTCTTTCTGTGCCTCAGCTTGTGCATCTGTAAAATGGGCCTGTGTCCTCCCCTCACTTCCCTCAGTAGTCTGTGGGGGGAGGGGTGGTGAGATAAATTTTTTGCATAAGAATGCTTCCTTACTCTTGACTGCATGCTGAAGACATATCCAGGCCTTCCCCAATGTGCTGGGACAGCTCAGTCACTCCCCCTGCTGGTCAGTGGCAGAGCCAGGGTCTAAATACCCCCAGGGTTGGGAGACCTATTTTAGCACTATTTTCGTATTCATCACATGTGTGTAAATGGGTCCCCAGAGCCCTGCAGTCCTGAAAGACCAGGGAGAGCGGGAGCTGACCTCTCCCTGGCTTGGTGCTCCGAGGGTCTCTCTCCTCCCTTCTGTCTGCGCCATGACTAAGGGCAGTTCAGGAGCCTGGGGCTGCAGTTGGCCAGGGAAGAGCTGAGCCTCCCTGTAATTAAGGCAGCGGGCAGCAGGAGGGCTGGAAGCTCTGTCATCTGAGGTAGCAGAGGGGAGGAAGGGGCTGAAGGAGCCTCCCCAGGGCTGGGCCAACCACGTCAGCAGCCACTTGCCCCTTCAGGAGCAGCTGGGCACGGCAGGCGGTTTGAAGGGACCCAGCAGGTACCTCTGACCCTGCCATGCCCCTTCTTGACCCAGACCCTCCTGCTTTGCCCCATCACCCCCTTAGTGGTGCCCCCTCAGCAAGGCTCATGCTTGATGATCCAGCAACAACCCGTGGGAGCCCTTCTGCTCTCGGCACAGTGGGTGAAGCAAGCCTGGGAGGGGCTGCTCGCAGGAGCACCAGGTCATTCTCCTGGACAGCCAGCACTGGGGCTCCAGGCTGCCCCCTGTAACCAGATACACACACTCCCAGGCTAGCCCTCTGGCTTCGGTCCTTCTGTCCATCAGCTCCGGCCTCCCCAACCTGCAGCCTCTTGCCTTTTGTTGCTCAGCATCTAGCCTGTACCTTCTCATCGCCTGGCAAGCCCTGCCCTCCCCCTAGCTTAACCCAGTCGAATTCTCTCTGCTGCCTCCTCACCCAGGCAGCCTTCTTTGATTGAGCTCAAATGAAGCTGTCTTTCTCCCTTTAGCCCTGCCCTGCCCCCGTCACCACTGTCAGGTGGGCTTATGGCAGAGGGAGACAACAGAAGGAATTACTGTATCCTATTCCTTTCCCCACACCCCTAGCACCACAGCAGTGACCTCCCTGGGGCCCAGGGGTGCCCTGGATAGGTCCCTGGGGTCTTCCAGACAGCAGTGGCCTGGTGCATGAAGTTGGGGTACCAGGAGGGTCTTGGGAAGGGCTCTCTGTGGATGATGTAAGGTCGGTGGGGAATCCTCAGGGACACAGCCCACCTTCACCAGGTACTCAGCACCTGGAGCCCAGCGTGGCCACAGCTGCCCCCACCCAGACCTCGTGCCCCTCTGGCCCGGTGACGTCACATCCTCCCTGGTCCAGACCTGCCCGTTTTTCTGCCCCCTTTTACAGGGTGGCCTGAGGGACCTTTCCAACTCAACGATGTCAAACTTTGGGCCACCCCAGAGTAGGATCTGGGCCTGCCCTTAATAGGCCCTGCCGGACCTGTTCCCCAGTCTCATCTTCCACCAGCCCCCTCACCCATCAGCTGGGCTCTAAGCTTGTGCAACTCAGTGGGGAGGGAGGAGATAGAGAATATACCCCAAGCCCTCTCAACGGCAGGCAGCCATACAGGTTGCCCCTTCCTCCTTCCCCTGGCTAACTCCTTCTCATTCTTTAGGCCTCCAGCTTGGGTGCCTATTCCTCCAGGAAGCCTTCCAGATTGCCTCTCCCATCCAGGTGAGGTGACCTTCTCCCTTGGGCTCACGTCGGGCTCGCCCCTCACCCATGGACCTTGCCCGAGCCCTGCTCCCTAACACGGACCCAGCACTGGACACGACGTCTGGCAATGTGGACCGAAGGCTCAAAGCATACTGAGAGCCTGAGTGGATGGCTGCATGAGTCAGTGGCTGCACCCCCACGCTGCAGGAAATGCCTGGAGAACAGATTTGAGTGGGAGGTTCCGGCAGGGCCCGGGAGAAGCCCCTGGGGTTCGGGGCTCTGGGTGGTGAGCAGTGTGGACGCTCCAATCTCCTACTGCGGCAGGGTCATCCCCACCCTCCCCCAGGCCCTCCCCCCTCCCCAAGGTCCCCCGGAGCCAGCTTCCAGATGAGAGCCGGGTGTCAACCTCACCTCTCGGCTCTCCCATCGGCACAGGCCGGCCAGATCTCTGCAGCCAGCATCGCGGCGGGCAGCCGGGCCAAGCGGCTCGGGCGTCTTCCTATTTTAGACATCTCGCTGCCTCGGTCCCTTCTAATGTTTCCAGGCTGGCTGTGGGGGGAGGAGAAAGAGGTGACTGCTACTTTAAATGTACTGTATGAAGGCAAGGGCTGGAAAGGGGCCTGCCTGCCGCAGTACCCAGTCATCTAGTTGGAAAAGCCGCCAGATGGAATACAAAAGGAGAAATGCAGCCGCTCATGGAGACAGCCTCGGTTCATAAATCAGGTGGGGCCGGGGGCTGGGGGCCCGCACGCCATGGAGCCCGACTCCCTCGCCGACCAAGACGACTCCTGCGGTAAGCCTGTGTCCGGACCTTCTCCGTTACCGAAATCTGAGTGGGGGGTGGGGGGTGAGGAGAGCAGGCAGGGCTTTGGGAGGTGGTGTCACTGTCTGGTCTTAGATGGGGGCTGCAGGGTACGGGGCTGCAGGGGTGGCTTGCTGGGATCTTAGGCAAACCCCCTGGACTCCAGGCACTGAAGCGTGGAGGCCAGAGAGAGTTTCTAAGCTGCTTTGGAGCGCGAAGAAGAAGCAGGAAGTTTCTGTCGCTCCTGCTGGGTCTCTCTTGCTCGCTCACTTGCTCTCCCCCCCACCCCCCAACCGCCTCTCCGTGCTGATCCTGAAAATACAGACGGAGCAGTAAGAGAAAAATGCTCTGTGATTAAGGCCCGGACCTGCATTGAAAGCACTGCCTGGGGTCACAGGGCCCCCATTCCCCTGGAGGCAGCCACCAGGGCAGCTGGCCCTGCCCAGGTCACAGGGAGCCCTGCTGGGGAAAAGTTGCTCCCGGCAGAACTCACAGGCTCTGGATCAAGAAGCAGATGGCTCCTCTGTGCCAGCTCCTACAAGCTTGGGGCTCCACGCCTGTGGGCTACCAAGTGCCCCCAACTGCCCTTCTGCCAGGCTGCCCCCAGCAATGGGCCAACCAGGAGGCAGAAGGGCAGGAGTGCGGCTGAGGGGACTCAGGCTGGCTGGGGTGGGCACCAGGTTTGGGGGTTCAACTGGGAGAGAGGGCTACATGGCCTGAGAGGGTGGTAGCAGAGGGACAAACTCGCCCCTCATTGGGTTAGTCTTGCAGGGGCTAGGATCCTCCTGCAGGACCTTGACCCCCACTTAGAAAACTAAGTCCTACCCCATTTGCCTACACCCACCCCAGCCAGGCCTGGCTGCCTAGCATAGGTTCAAGGCCAAATTTCCTTCCTGCTGCAGGGGCTCAGCCCTTTTCCAGGAGAAGGGGCCTTTCGCCATGTTTAGAGTTGAAGCCCACAGGAGGGATTTGGTGAAATGTGGCTGGTGGCATTGGCATCTCCAGGCAGGCAGCTGGTTGGTCCCTGCCCCCCAAGTGAACCCTACTTGCCACACTGGGTGTCATGGTTGTGAATGAGGCTTAGGATCTTCACTTACAGTTGCTCAGGGTTTGGGGACTGGAAGGAGGTAAGGAAAGAGAGAGGGAGCCTTGAACTGCAAAGAGCTCCCTGCCTGGAGCAGAGACCAATGACCCCAGACTGGAACAGAATAAACAGCTCCTTAGGGTACCTAGGGCAGACCATCGAGGTCATGGGGCTAGGTTGCCTGCCTGCAGAGCTGTCCACTGGAAGCCTGGCGTACAGATGGGCACGGGCCCACCTGGACGCTGCTCCAAGCAGGTGCTTTCCCTTGGATTGGTGGCAGCAAGAAAACTTAAAATCCCTCAGTTCTCCACCTACGCCCCAGCTGGAGATGCCTCAGCTCAGAGCTGCTGTCCTGCAGACCTGCTTTGCTATGAGCTGTTCCCCGTGGGGTGCGGGGGGCAAGACTGGGGCCCGCTCTGTACACTGAGGGCTCCCACCCTGATGGCAGGTTCCCCCCATGCGCAGCCACCTTTTATGCTGCCAGTTCCCTGGAAGCTGCTCTGGCCATGAAGTGACTGGGAAATGAAGGAAAGAGGCAGTGGGACATGTAGTGGTGGTGGTGGTGGGGGGTGTTAGGGAGCAGACAGGAAGGGGGTGGGGCCTAGGATCCCCTGGGAGCCATCCCAACCCAGCTGGAGAGGATCTGGCTGCTCCCAGCCAGCCAGCCTGCATCCAAAACGCCGAAGCAGGCCTGCGTCCCAGCCAAAGCAGAAGGAAAACTGCCCTAGGAGAGTCGCTTCCTTTCTCTGGGCCCTGCGTGTGTCTTCATTCAGTCATTCAACAAACACTTTGATCCCAGGTAGAGCTAAAGAACCCCAAGAACAAGCCACACTCCATGACAGCCCAGGGCTCATTTAGGACAGAGGTGAGTGGTTCAAAGGGAAAATGCAAGGTGCTATGAATTTCTGAGTCCACACTCGGGGTCCAGGAAGGTTCCCTGGAGGCAGGGATCCTCTCTGGGTCAGCTCGGGCCGTCTAGACTGGGTGGCTTCAGCAGCAGAAATTAGAGCAGAAACAATGTTCTCCCAGTCTCGGAGGCTCCAAGTCCACGATCAACGCTCTGGCCACTCTGGTTTCTGCTGAGCTCTGGTCTCCTGGCTTGCAGATGGCCGCCTTCTCGCTGTCCTCACGTGGCCTTCCTTGGGTGCGCACACGTGGGACAGAGATGGCTAGAGGGAAAGGCAGGGGAGCGTGCCTACTCTGCTGTCTCTGCTCGTGTGGACACCTCAGCCTCTGGGAACCATGCCTGCTCTCCCCAGGGCCTAGAGCTTCAACATGCAGATCTGGGTGGGACGGGGTGGGAAAGGTGCAGACACTGCACTTGGTTTCCTCTCCTGGAACGCACCTCCCCCTCCCCGCAGATGACCACATCAAAGTCTGGTTCCCTTCCCCATGTGGCCTCGTCCCTTCCTTCTCCCTCCCCAGATGACAGCCACCCTGGTCTGACCCTCCTCACACTCCCTGAACTGTTCTCACCTCCTGGCCTTTCCAGGTGCCTACGATGCTCTTCCTCGCACCCTCCTTGAGCTAAGGCCGCCTCCTCCAGGAAGCCTAGGCCACATTCCTCCGGCCTGTCACATGAGCTCCTTGTCTTTCTCTTTCTTTCCTCTTTACGTGCCGTGTGCTTGTCTGCATCACTGCATGCTTATGTTTCAGCTCTGGATTTCCCACTAAGCTCCTTGTACCCCCAGGACAGCCTGGTATGAAGCAAACGTCCAACAAATGTTTCTCTCTCTCCCATTTTCTCTACATTTTTTTTTTTTTTTTTTGAGAGAGAGAGAGAAAGGGAGAGAGATCCACGCCCCAAATGCCTGCAGTGGTTGGAGTTGGGCGGGGCTAAAGCTGAAAACCACAAATGCCATCCTGCTCTTCCATGGGCAGGGCAAGGACGGGGCTACTTGAGTCGCACCTGTTGCCTCCCAGGGTGTGCGTTAACAAGAAGCTGGAGTCAGGAGCTGGAGGAGCTCAAGATCTAGTGTGGAGTGTTGAGGTCTTAACCAGCATCTTCCCGGCCACCCCTCAAGTGCTCGCTGGGTGAGTGTCAGCCCAGACCACGAAGGGAGGAAGGGCACCGGCTAGGGTAGGGGAGTGGCAGGGAGGAGACCAAGGCAGAGGACATGAGAGGGTAAGAAACTGGAGGTAGAGACCTCACCCTGCAGCACCTTCTCTCTCTAAGCTCCTAGGATGCATCCACTTTGAGTCCACAAATGCCTTCCTCTTGGAGTTTTCCTGTTACCGGGTCCCCACAACCACCGAGGGGGAGAGGCAACTGTGTTCTTCAACAGTAAGAGCCACTGGAAGCAGTCTAATTGAGCATTTCGTTTATTGCAATGCAAGCACAAGCTTATATAGACTAAGAAAAGGGAAGGGAAGGTGGCATCTCCCAACAGCCCTCCCACCCAGCAATGGCACTGTAATTATCTAGAAGGCATGTTTATCTTTTTAAAAACTCCAATCACGCCATGGGTCACATACAATAGTCACAGCTGGCAGGTAGGCTGTGGGTCATGTATACAATGTAGGCTGGCAGGTAACATGGGCTGCACCTGACCTGGGAAGGTGCTCAGTGCACATTCATTGGATGGATGGGTGGATGGATGGATGCATGGGTAGATGAGTGGTGAATAAATGGCCCCAGCTGGATCTTGCCCTCACCTGTCTCTGCACCCTCAGGCATTCTCCCTCACTCTGGGCTACAGCTGAAGGTGCTTGCTAGACTCCATTTCCCCCATATGTTCTAGCTCTGATCATCTAAGATACCAGAACTCAGCTCTGGACATCTGTCTTGTGTGTGGTCGGAGTCTGAGCACAGCTGCCTGTGTCTCCGGGTGGCCCAGACCAAGACCCTACTCCTTGCTCAGCCTCAGCTTGTTCCTCTGACAATAGGGTAGACTCAGCCCTGCCCTGCCTGTTCCCTGGCTCTTCCTGGAGCTCCTGAAGCATGGCCTGGAGAGCTGCAGGGATGCTGGGGAGCCTGTGGTTGACATGGGGGTGCTAGGCTAGGACAGCTGGGCAGATGGCTAGAATAGGCACCCTGAAAGGAGCCAGATGCTTTGAAGTCCAGGAACTTTTGTTTTCCTCCTGCTGAAAAACAGCAAAAGCTGTAACAGCCCCTAGTGGGTATCCTATGCTTGTGAGTGTTTCATTTTTAGATTATGTTTGTTTTTTAATTAGAAAGGCAGATCAGCCTTATATAGAGAAGGACAGAAAGAAAGAAAGAACTTTTATCTGCTGATTCACTCCCCAAATTGCTGCAAGGGCAACAATTGAGCTGATCTAAAGCCGAAGCCAGGAGTTTCTTCTGTGTCTCCCATGTGGGTGCAGGGTCCCAAGGTTTTGGGCCATCTTCAATTGCTTTCCCAGGCCACAAGCAGGGAGCTGGATTGGAAGCGGAGCAGTTGGGACATGATCCCATGTCTGATCCCAGCACGTGCAAAGTGAGGATTTAGCCATTGAATCATTGCACCAGGCCCCGTGAAGGTGGCTTTATAAACCTCCCAGGGCTGCAGGGTCAGTGACCAGTGCCAGGTGTGGAGCACCTGCTCCTCACCAGGATTCGTGAAAGGACCTTGAGGTGCAGTGTCCACTTACATCCTCATGAGGAGCCCCATGTGATGCTCACGGACCCATTTTCTGCAGGAGGAAACTGAGACTTGGGGAAGCAAGGGGATTGATGCAGGTCACACACAAGGACAGTGATCCATGCCTGGAATACCCCAGCTAAGAAGCCTACGATTGGTCACGATGCTGCTGCACAAGCTGTCGCTTCGGGGCCCTTCCACAGCCCCACCCACCAGGGAGAATAACTGCCAGCTCAGCTGGGGACAGCCATAATGGGAGAGGGCTGTCGGGGCCTACTGTCCCCATTCCTGGTCACCTCCTCCAAGAGGAGGAGGCTGAAGAACCT